AGTAATTGCTCCATGAACAACCCAGTGTACTTTTAATATTATATCAAGTGTGTAGAATGAGCCATTAAATAATGTTCTGTTTCTAGTGGGTCTTTAAGATTTTTTTTTTTCCTTTAGTCCTTAATTTTTAAGGACATAAGTGTTTAGGAGAAGCAGTTTTCATCATGAACACATTTGACTAATATTGTGTTCTCCATGGAGATACTTTTCAAAGTGTGGAGGAACTCGGTTAAAATGGAATTATAACCAAGATTAATTATAGTTATACACCAAATTAAATATAAAAGAAGATAAATTTACAAGAAATACAATAAAATCATCTTGATTACTTTTACCTACAGTACTGAAATGTCTTTTTTCTACTGAGGAGGACTTGGAGGACAAGAAGATGGTGAAATATGTAGGATTGTTCATATTACTAGTCACTTGGAAAATATGTGTAATGACATCATAACAGTGTCTATAAATAATTCCTTGTGGCTAATCACTATTGAATTTAAAGGAATTACCTTGGAATTAAATTCTATTCAACAGCTAACAAGCAGCTACTTGTAAGCACGAAATAGGTGAAAAGCCTTTTTATCAACTCCACTAATCTAGACGTACTAAGCTCAATCTTCAGAACACATTCTGCTACACATCAATCTAAGTGTTTTCAATTACGTGAAGTATTGATTTTACGTTTGAAATTTCCTGTCTCTTCATGAACTTGATTTTCTTTGAATGGCAAGGGTACTTTTCAGGATTTGAAGTTTTTAATTCTCTTCTAAGGATAAATAAAAACACGTATATGAATGTATTAAAATGATTTATTGATGTATTCAGTACTTTGCATCATTGTTTTGCGTAAAGAATTCGCAGGAGAGAAAACCTGATTTCTGATTTCATGATGTTTAAGAGAAGATGCTCTGCTTCATTAGATAGTAATGCCATGTTTATTCTTTATTTTTATAACATGCGTGATTGAGATCAACTTTGAAAAATTCCAGTTAAAAAGTAACAACAGTACTCAATATCTTCACTCATTTTTAGTCTCAAGTCATTGTAAACATTAAAACCTTTTAGAATTACAGAGACAGAAGAGTGAGTGGAATTGCATTTGGCTACACTAATCATCAGATTATCATTTGAAGTACTGATAAATTGTTCAGTGTACATTTTTAGAAATGTATTTGCCATTTTCTACAGCTTGAAATCTGTTGCTACTGGAAAATAATGTTGTCTGACAAATAGTTTTCAAAGATATTCATGTAAACACCTTAATAATTACACAACAGGGAAAAGTAAAGGATCTTTATGTAACAATTTTGCTTTCTTTACATCTCTGACTGAACTTTAAGCCACTGTGAGGTTAATAATAAAATGTATCTTTACTATGATTAGATCCTAATTTCGTCCTTATAACTTCATACCTGAACCTAAATTTGAGTTTTCTGTAAAATATTTTAGCATTTACTAGTAAGAGATAAAATAATTGATATATAGTAAATACTTAAAGAGTTCTGACTGCATTTCTACTTTAGCCATTTGAAATTTTTAGATGTTTGAGAAATAGTTGGTGGAGGAAGAACTAAGAATTTATGCCCTGAAAATGTGTCTATTTGTGAGTAGTTATGCTAGAAAGGGAAAACGTGAAGGATGTGAATGCTTCTAGGTCATGACATACAGAATTGGGAGCACTGAACTGGATAAATTTAATATGATTGAAAAACTTAATACTAAATACAGTGATGGTGGGATGTAGAAAATCTCCTCTCTTGTGGTAGATCAAGACCAATACAGTACATTTTTCAGTATCTGCAGGATTAAAACAGCTAACTTAATTTGGTTATATGAATACTCCATCCCTAATATGCTATTCATACTGATTATGTCTGCATATGAGTCACATTCAGTTTGAATTTACCAGATTTCCATGAATGTTTGCTTAAGTAATGACATCATTCCACGAAGTGAACAGGGCCTTCTAAATACAAAGGGACGACTGTTTAGAAAAACAAGGTTTAAATAAACCTGCTCGTTTAATTATATATTATGCAAGGAGCAACACAGTAATGTTGCGGCAGTCTTAAAAAAATCTGGCTGTTCCAAACACTTCATTAAATAATCTGTTATATAATGAAGCTTCACTGGATTTCTTTCTGTTTCCAAGTTAACTTATCCATTAATGACAATGCTCTCTTTTTGAACAGCCATTTCAATGTACTATTTTCAAAATCAGTATCATTTCACTATTGTTTTGTTTTGTGTCATGCGAAAATCCTAAGTCTTTTCTGACTGTTTAGTCAGCTACTTCAGCATGGAAAAATTTTAAAATGTACCTTTCAAGGTGAAGCTTAACTGACGAGTTCTGAACTTTTATGTTATTGAACTTACATAAACTTTTAACAATCAAGTGGCTTTATTTACAAAGGGAGACTTCCAACTAACTACTTGAGCCTCAACAAAGGTTCCTCAAATTTGTTATTAATTCATGAAGTGTAAAGTCTATCTCAAGCTTGAATAAATTCATACTGCAGCCAATAGCTGCACACATTGACCATTTACTTAGTTCTGAGTGAAATAAACTTACAGTGTACAATTGGAGTTCACTGTCTTGATACAATTAACAGCACAATATCAGAGCACACATTTGGTAAGCTACTTTAAAGAAGTACCTATTTCTGAAGAATCTGCAAGGAAAAGTTGCAAAAAAAAAAAAAAAACAATAAAAAAGAGCTTAGTCAAAGCTCTTTATCAAAGCTCAATAAAGGACTCTCTTAGTAAGAGAGTCAAGACGATGCAATATGCCATAAAAGGAAAACCACTGAAAATCAGTTTCACGTTCCAATTTCATCCAACATATCTACCAAAAGCAATAGGATTTGATGACATAATAATATTTAGAGAAATTGGATTCTCGAGAACTTTCTTAAGACGTAACATATGATTTTATATGAATTGGACTGTATCTATCCATTCCCCAGAGGGAATGGTCAAGTCAGAAGCAGAAAAACATCTGCAAGTTTCTTCATACAAAGTGTTCTTTATATTTTGGAGTAGAGAATCAAGATACCTTTCATATCAGGAGAAATCCATCATCACAGCAACAGTGTGCCCATTTTGTTCTTTGTTCTCGACTGTCTTTTATGTAGATACGGGTTCTTTAGAGCTTGGTTTAGCGTTTCCAAGTCTTTCAATTTCTTGTCAGTAGCAGCTGTTATTTAAATGAGAGGGCTGCTCTGAAAGTTATACCTCCTATTTTATTATGTTGGCCCACAATGTCAGAGGCAGATGTTGGTGGTATGGCAGTAGAGGTTGAACCTACCCAGCTAGTATTCCATTCCATTTTGTTGCTGTGTGACAGATGGCAGCAAAGTGGGGTCTGACAAAATGGCATATGAAACAAAAGTGTTTCAGAGAATTCCTCTATGCAGAAAAAAATGGAGCTCACTGACATTCGCTGATGCTTGTTGAACATTTCTGGAGACCAAACAGTGAAAGGCCGCAGACAGAGGGTGGTGGTCAATGGCTCTATGTCCAGGTGGAGGCCGGTAACAAGTGGTGTCCCCCAAGGGTCTGTCTTGGGACTGGTGCTCTTTAACATCTTTATTAATGACATCGATGAGGGAATTGAGTGCACTCTCAGCAAGTTTGCTGACGACACCAAGCTGAGTGGTGCGGTTGATACGGTGGAAGGAAGGGATGCCATTCAGAGGGACCTCGACAGGCTGGAGGGCTGGGCTCGGGTGAACCTAATGAGGTTCAACACGGCAAAGTGCAAGGTTTTGCATTTGGGCCGGAAGAACCCCAGGCACCCGTACAGGCTGGGAGGAGTGGGCCTTGAGAGCAGCTCGGCAGAGAAGGACCCCGGGGTCCTGATGGACGAGAGACTTAACATGAGCCAGCAGTGCGCTCTGGCAGCTCGAAAGGCAAATGGGATCCTGGGCTCCATCAGGAGAGGGGTGGTCAGCAGGGAGAGGGAGGTGATTGTCCCTCTCTACTCGGCTCTTGTGAGGCCCCATCTGGAGTACTGTGTCCAGGTGTGGAGCCCTCAGTGCAAGAAAGACATTGAGATTTTAGAAAGGGTCCAGAGGAGGGCGACTAAGATGATCAGAGGGCTGGAGCACCTCCCCTATGAGGACAGGCTGAGGGAGTTGGGCTTGTTCAGGCTGGAGAAGAGAAGGCTGCGGGGTGACCTCATTGCAGCCTATCAATACCTGAAGGGAACCTACACCCAGGAGGGGAGTAAACTCTTCAAAAGGGCTGACAACAGCAGGACTAGGGGAAATGGATCCAAGTTGAAGGAGGGAAGATTTAGGTTGGATGTTAGGGGGAAGTTCTTTACAAGGAGAGTAGTTAGGCCCTGGAACGGGCTGCCCAGGGAGGTTGTGGATGCCCCGTCCTTGGACGTGTTCAATGCCAGGTTGGACGGGGTCCTGGGCAACCTGATCTGAATGTGTACGTTTGGTGGCCCTGCTAGGCAGAGGGGTTGGAACTACATGATCCTTGAGGTCCCTTCCAACCCGGGTGATTCTGTGATTCTGTGATTCTGTGAATGTAAGCACAGTGAGACAGTAGGTAGTACATTTCAGTAGTGACAACAGTGACAGTGGGGCACATCTGCTGGTGCAGAATTTTATGAGCACAACATGCAGGCTCTTGTTCATCATAGGCAAAAATGCATAGCTAATGTTGGTCAGTATGTTGAAAAATAGTGTTTTGTAGCTGAGACTTTGCTCTATCAAATAGTGTTATATGTTCTTCCTGTCTGTTGTAGTTTCCATGGAAATAAATAGAAGGCATTGCTTTTGAAGTGACCTACATACATTTTATTTTGGAAAGAAATAATTGTTTAAAAGCTGATACTAAACTGTGTGTATTAAAAATTCTTTTTGTGGGTGGTTGCTGAATTTGGAGTTGGAATTTTTGTTGGTGAGTATGTATGAATTTTTGCTAATTAAATCCTAACATTTATTTCTATGTTCTCTTATTCTTTCTTTCTTTCCTTATTTCAACAGCTTGATCAAGTTATTCGTCAGAGAAATCTGTCTAGTTTGGAACTTTTCCTCTCATGTGCACAGAAACAATTAAGCAGTTTATTAAATGAAGACCCAACCGCATCACAGGAAAAGAGAGACTGACATTCTCTATACCACTGCTACAGTATGATTTGTGAACTTGCAAATAAGTTTAAAAAATGGCAAATGTCTTCATTTGGGAGTGTATCCTTGGTTCAAGATTTCTCTGAAACTATACTTGAGAGAAGTATCTGTGTATTCAGTTTGTTCTTTTAACAGGAAAAATAGTTTTTATTTAAGATTTAATTTTATTGTCTTTTCTAGTAGCCTGTGATTGAAGCTCTAGGCAACTACAGCAATGATGAAAAAATTCCCTTTCATTTCTGGTTTAAAGGTGTTATCATATCTTGATGTAATTTTTTAGTATTTCTAATTTTAAAAGAAACTGAAAAAAAATTAAATATACACACAAGTCTATCTTTATTTCTCAAGTATATGCCCAAATGCATTGACTGAAAGGAGTGTGAGAAGCTTATTAGCTCTTATCATTTTGGATGCATAAGGGAAGAATCCGTGCTGAAAGATAAGAGCTTTGACAGTCATTTCTTCAGACATTTGTAAACAACTCCAGCTCTACTGACAGAAAAAAATTAAAAACCATGCAGTGCATCATGTTAGAATAGTTCCAAACATTACTGTAACCAATGTCTGGTATGTATAAATAGAATACATTCTGTTTTACAAAGCTCAGAGACCTCAGTTTCAGGAATAAGATATACGTAATTATGTGAATATGCATACTGCACTGCTGCAGTGGAATTTCTGACAGAATAAGGAGAGCGTCATGCTGACCTCAGATGTCATTTTTAAGCCCATTGAAGGAAGTAGCAATAATGCCAGCTGACAATGGGCTTTGGATCAAGTCTGTGAATGGGAAACTCCGTGCCTATACTCTATTGATTGTAGACCTGGAACCTTAGTTTTAAAGTTCTGAATGAAATGATGCCTAGAAATATAAATAAACTGAGAATTATACCTCTGATGATGAGCTTGTCATCCAGTGGGGACCCATGGGCAATTCTTGTTATTTTTTGGTGGTTGTGATGTTTTATTCCACTTTTTTTTTTGTTTTTCCACTGGCAGTCACTTTTCATAAATTGCTTCTTTATAGCTGTAAATTCCAAATAGTTTCCTATGTGTTTGTTAATATGAAATGTGTATTGCAGACAGTTTGTTTTTATTTAAATCTTTTTCCGTGCTTACTTTTTGTAATCAAACAAAAGTTTTTGCCTTCTGTATGGCCGTGGGGTTTCACTGAATAAGTAAATGATGCAGATTTTATTAGCTAATGATCTCTCCCTCCAAATGTATGAAAATCCAGATCTTTTTGATTGACTGACCAGTTTCCTTTTCATCTGGTAAGCCAAAAGATATTTGAGTGTTGATGAGTCCAAACTATCTTGTTTACCTAGGTGGAATAAAGTATGGTAGAATTTGCTCGCACTTTGTTCTTACCATTTGTCTTCATCAGTTTTGCTACAGAAGAGTTTTATTGTGTTTCAGCAAGACGTGGTCATGGAGAAGTGGGAGAAGCTTATTGTCAGTAAGATGTTACTGATAACTATCTTCCCTAGTGGAACATCATGTGTTAGTCTCCACTCTTGGATATTGTGATTATCACATAGAACAGCAGGGATTTTTTTTCCTTACCTTTGGCACTTCTAGTGCTTTAGGTGTTCTCTCTACCCTGTGAGAAAAAATGCAGAATTAGATGACAGACATACAAAAACAGACTGGGAGCACTGACTGCTTTCAAAATTGCAAGTCTCAGAGAAGAAATTCAGATATGCAGCAGGAAAAAAAAAGAGCGAAGTAGTATACAAACTTTTAATTATGTGTTAAACTCCACCTCCTCCTTGTCATGCACAAGAGATTATTTTTAGTTTTCATTATTTCTGCCTAATCATAGTGTCACTGAGTTATCTCTAGATCTGTCTGTGTCCATGACAGGCCCACAAGCCCACTGGCTCAGAAAAAGGGAGAGTGTTGATGGCTTACAGGCCAGTTTGTCCCAGTACAGTGACTAATGGGGCAGGGCACATACAGATCCATGCCCTGGGAAAGGGAAAAGGAATGGGGGAAGGGTAGGGAGATGGGCCTAAAAACAGAACAGTGGCAGTGATCTGAGGAGGAAAGTTAATTTACTACATATTATATCAGAATGCAAGATAACACACTATAATGCAATATATAATTGGAATCGAGGCTAATACATCAAAATGAGAGAGAGAGTGTCCGATACCAATGGCTGGGGAGCATACCCATACACTGCCAGGCAGCAAGAGAGAGTGAGTCCTGTGACTTGCCAGCTTTGTCTTCCCCTCTGAACACAATGTCCTCTGTAGTGTGTAGTTCTCTTCTGAGAGCCAGGTATATTCAGAAAATTGTCGGTCCATGGAAGTGGGGCATTAACTCTTTAACTCTCAGTGCTTTACATGATGCTGTGATGTGGAATACCAATAATGAAAATCATAAAACCATGACATCATAGGAAAATAATTTGTGGAAACTTTGGTAGAGGAATGTCAGGGGAAAGTTTGCAAAACCATTCTAATTCATGGCAGGTGATATCACAGGTATTTTTTTTTTAATCACATTATATAAATAAATTTATGATATCCTGAAAAATAGCATTTTAGATAAGTTGAAAGCCTAAAGGTTCAAACTTTATCTGCCTCCAAGGCATGACTGCTAGTGCAATTAAGTTTCTATAATAAATAATCCATATTCTTTGTATCCAAGATAACATAAATAATTTTGACAAGAATTATGTGCAGTGGGAGAAGCAAGAAGCCCTAGAACTCATGCGTAGGTTCAACAAAATCTAAAATGCTCAAGCTCTTCAGTCTGCAGTCGTATAATATGCATACTATATGCATGTATATGATTATTGGCTTTATATTAGAAATTAGCTATAAACTTGTTTATATTAGAATGTGTCTAAAAGCTAAGTAAAACAGTAATCATAGATCTAGTGTATCTAATGGTGTCTTTATTAGCATCAGTCAGGCTCATCCTATTTGATAATTTTTACTTGATGATCTAGACCAGGGAAAATCAGAAAAGTGAGATTTCTAGCCAATAATTTAATGTTGCTAATGACTATTTTGATACCATACAGACCTATGCATCTGTGTTGTATTTCTGCACATTTATTTTGGCTTTCAATCTGCTTCCTTTACAGAATTATAGTTTAGCTCTGAGATTATGTATATATAAGTAATTAACAAAGAAGTCATTTTCCACTCTTGTTTTGTACAGTGTCTATATCTGAGGTAAGTGAAGGAATATTTTAATTTTGCCTTGCTCAAGAAATAACTTTGTTAAATAAAAGTCATTTTTACAAAGCATTTATTTCCTTCACTGTATCACAACACAGCTGAACAAAGAAAAAGCAGTAATCATTTTGAAGGCTGAGTTTGCACTAGCATTTTAAGATTTTTTGTGCATCATTACACTGGCTTCTGCTCAAAAGTTGCCTCATCTCCTGCCAGCTCAGTAAATGGCAATATTAGTTCCTGACTGTCTGAAACTAGTGGTGTAGGCATGACCTTAAAGGGCCTGTTTCCTATTCAATACTGAAGTTCCTATATAAAATGGTGGAGCCTCCTCTTCCACTGCATTGATGTCCACACACTTGAGCTTGCAGAATTTTTCCTCCCCCTTGGATGCAGAGATTTCATTTTGTTTCCTAACAGGTAATAGCCACTGATTAAAAATTACTCAACACATACAATTTATGCTTACTTTCAGATAATGGACAGTATTGATGCAGTATCAAATGGACATTTTTCTGTTTCCCATCATTTACTTCAACTGGTTTAGGTACTGTAAATGCTGATGCAGGAGTGACTAACTTGTTGACAAGATTGTCCTGAAATTTTTTACATGGCCATTCTCAATATTGTCTGGAAAGGCTTCTTAACTCCTGTGTCATTCCTGTTTCATCAGTGGATTTTAAACATGCCAAAGAAAGCTCAGTGTGGAAAACACCTTATTCATGGGTATAATTTGGATCTTCAGGAATAGGCTAAACAAATCTTTTTCTGTGATGTGTGCAAAAACATTGTCCTAAGGCTTCAAGAATCAATTGTCTATTTTAGAGTATTTCTTGTAGAGCCTCCATAAAACTAATAGTGATGCTGATCAATCAGGGTCATATTTGGATGGCTGAACATTAAGGGGAAACCAAGGAACTTGTGGAGTTGATCGGAGTTTGTGTTTGGTTTGTTAGTTAAAGGAAAGGACAGAGATGTGTACACTTCTCATTGCAGACATTACCTAAGCAGTTCGCTTGTCATGGTGATGCAGTAGCTAAAAATATCCTCACCAAGCTCTATTGCATGCAGAGCAAAAGGTCAGGCTTGTTTTATACTATCTAAAGCAGGTTTGTAGATTATGATTATTACATATCTGTGGGAAGCACTTCATTATAGTATTTCATTATAAAGGTATATTGTAATGTTGTGAAAGATTAAGTAGGTGCTGGTGACAGTAAGTATTTAGCAACACCAAAAAAAGATTGATCTTTTTTCTTTTGAAGTCATTTATTGTAGAGTATAAATTTTAAATTTTTTCTGTCATCTTTCTGAACAGTCATCTCCTGTGATGAGTGTGATCAGAATATCTTTCACAGTAATTGTAACTGTTTTAATGTGTCAGAGATTCAAAGTTGTTTATATCGCCTTCAATTCCTTGCATTTCAAAGTTAAAACTAGGCATTTTTCTGATGCTTTCCATTGTCCAGCATGAATAATGTGATAAACAAAGAAGGTGCTATTGAATAAAAACTTCTACTGTCTTTCTAATGGTATTTTTAAACAGTTCGACATCAAAAACTAGCAAAATGGAAGAAAAGTAGAAGTTAGTTAATAAACATATCCAGAAATAAAATTATCAACAAAATGCTATAAATTTCTTTTTTTTTTTTACTGGACTTGGTAGCAAGTCTGTATCAGTAGATAAAGATCACCATCAGATGGATAGTTATTTTCATTCATTCTCTTTCATCAATTTAAAATACTTTGTCTTTTCACAAAGTTCAAAGGGTTTGCACTTCTGAGTTTAAAAGCAAGTTCCTCTCTACACTATGATGGTATGAAGCCCTTTGGTGAAAGGAGATTTGTTTTTTCTAAGTGAACGCTGAAGGATGTTTGAACGCTGAAGTTCTTGTACTGCTACCAAATTAGGTCATCAGCTGGAACTACACATCAATCTTTCTACATAAATTTTCTGAAAGATAGCTGATTACCATGATAAATATCCAGGCTCTATTTCTATGACAATAATTTTAAAAATTCCATTATTTAAACCTCCAGTTCTTTTATCATGACCAGAGATTACATATTTAAAGAGTGATCGTGAAGTTCTGGCTCCCAGGAATTCAGCAAGAATTGTTGGCTGCTTGCAGCTCAGAATATTGTTCTTCCTCACATTTTTTGCAATTGTGTCTGAGTAATAAAATGTAAACAGCTTTCTGTGGGCTGTTCCTCTGAAAGTGTTCTGAGAAATGTATTTCAAAAGCACATTTCACAATCTTTTTTCCTAAAGTAAGTATCAGCACTTGTTCTGTTTGTTGTGTATCAAGGAGGTGGGAGCTACTGGCTGAGACCTTGGAGAGGGGCTACATTTCACAATACTGTAATGTTGCTAAAAATAATGTATTTCTATATTCTTCTTGAAATAAGTTTTTTCTCATTTGATTCATCAGAACTAATAGCAACTCCAGTTTTCCCTACTGAAAACCTTGTAAAAAATACATACTATGAGGTGTATCAGCAAAGTGACTATCACAAAGATATAAACCACACTATTCTGTCATGAGGGTTGATGGAAGTAGAAAACATGAAGGTAAGTATAATGTGTTACTATTTGTTATATATTCCTTCTGTTACTACTTTTACGTGATAGAGAAAATCGAGTCTTTCTGAAATGCTGTATCTGTGGCAAATGTAACCAGACTAGAGTTCATTACTCGTTCACTGAATGGTCATTGGAATAAATGACCTTTAAAGGTCCCTGCCAATTCAAACAATTCTATGATGCTATGATTCTAACTTTACAGCTGGATGGTATTTTGATTTAAAAAGTCCCAGTTGAAACAGGATGAGTCTTACTAGTTTTCTCAGGGTCAAAGAGTCATACAAATGAGAACATTTTGCTTTAGTTTTGGATTATTGTTAGAATGGGTCCAAATCTGTCCTGGAGTGTCAGCATCCAAGAATTTCAGCAGGTGCTTTGGCTAAAGACAATAAACACGCTTTTGGTCTGTCTGAAACACTAACATTGACATTGGAAAGCATGATTATTTCAGAAACCAATCTGTAATGCAATTTTCCTCTCTTGTGTCTTTATGGTTTTTTGTGTATTAGTCACGATTCACACTCTAGGGCAAAAGAAGCTGTATTTTCGCAAATGTTTTTGAAAATGATGGTGG